GAAGAGTAAGTCCCACACTACCTATGCTTCCTTTACATGTTTACTTACTAGTACTTGTAGCCTCTCTTTGTGCGGCTTACAGGTACAGTACTATGCAATCATAGTCGTTCTCTCACAGACTGAAGACCTCTCTTTGTGCGGCTTACAGCCTTCCAGGTTCAGAGTTCATCACCTCCCTCATTCGCACTCCATCTGGATGCGGATGAGGGATGCGGAAGTGCCGGATTGAGTGATTCAGGGTCCGTGTTGCTGCTCACAAGCGCAGACGGACTGATGCGCATCATGAGAAGTGAGGGAAGATCCAGAACAATGGACAGGCTGAAAATGCGGACATGTAAGATATCCATGGCAATCCGTGAGCCCTCCGAGGTACACGCGAGTTCACTAATTTGTTTGATCTAAGCTGCGGAGTTCGGTTGAGATGGGGCACAAACTCTAAGCTCAGCACACAGGAGAAATCCAGTCTATTGGACGCTGAACACAGTAGTATTGTATGACATGCAGACAGTACTACAGTAGGCTACCTTCTATCCAGAACAGACGGTGGAGGGAGCGGGAGGAGGGGATTTGTTTCTCTCACCAGGCGGCATCACGTACGGGAGGGGCGGCAGCCCACATAGCAGCCCGTGGACGGCGGCTGCCACCGACCCTGACTGCGGTTGCACCAGAGGCCGTCCGCAGCCTGTACCCGGCAGACCTGCATCAAGCAGCCAGACCGACAAGACCGGACCTCGCATCAGACACGCAGACGCACACAAGAAATGAAGGTAGTGTGCGTACAGCAAACGTCTCCACTTTTCCCCCACCGCCCACCCTGCCGTCTGCGACGCTGCGTGCAAGACGTACCGCACAAGAACTTTGACGATGGAGCTGTATGAGGCGAGCAACGCCCGCCTTCCCTGCCCTTCCACTTGCCTGCCAAGGTCCGTGCGACCTAGAGCGGCCGCAGCGCCTCAGCTCTCCTCTTCGCGAAGCTCGCACCATCACACTGGCACTGGCGCGGGAGATCCCTCAAAACCGCGAGCATGCACGGGGTGCAGGTACGTCGATCTGTATCATAACAGAGAGGTCAGCACTTATTTCTCGCGGCCTCCTCTGCTGGCGCGAACCTTTCCTGCAGATATCCCTTCCCTAGCTGGCAGTTTCGCCAACCGACTTCCCGTGCCGACTTCCACGCCGACTTCCACGCCGCCACACCACACCGCCGCCCCCGAATTCCGCGCTGCCACCGACTGTTCGTGCGCCCGTGGCGCACACGGTACAAGCCGAAGCAGTACGTCATGTCCGCCGTATAGTCGCGCCCGCCGCTAATCTCACGTTGTGTTGCGGCGATCTTCCGTTGCATCTCAGGCCTCCGGATTCATATGCAATCTCTGTCGGGCAGGATGTAGGATGGGACGGGGCAGCTGGAAGGTGGGAGCTGAGCATCAGGCGACAAGATCAAGTGCTGCGAGAACGTCGAAGGTACGTACGTGCCCGTCTCCTCACATGTGGTCTTCGTTGCCTGACAGCCCGGCGGCAGAGTCGGACCGCAGACCGCAGGTCATGCCAGGCAGCGACAGCGGGCAGTCAGTTTCTGGTATTAGCGGCGACCCCGGCTCGCTGGACGGAAGTCAAAAGTCGCCGCAAGTTGCAGACAGGCTCGCGGCTCTGCGGGCACGCGGTCTCGACTGCTCCTCGGAGTCGCGAGTAGCCAGGCGCCCGCAGCGTCCTCTCGCCCGCGCGAACACGAGATATACGGTATGTACTCGCGTGACTTCTGTGCACGCGATATGCCTGACCAGCGCTGCACAACTCGCAGCTCGGCACTCGAACCCTCCCTGCTGGATGTGATCAACGCGTGCACACGAAGACGATACGGTACGTACTTGCCTCGCAACGCGAATGCGGACCTGACTCCATGGTCGTTGGCGGGCTCGCAATTCACGGTACGTACTTGTGATGCTCCGAGTTCGGCGCACGCCCGAGGATGCGGTGCGCGGCCTCGCAGGGCAATCACCGGCGAGATCTGGAGATTTGAAGTAGATACGCGAGATCGGTGTCGATGTCGAGGTCGCGCGAGAGGAGGAGCGACGTGCGAGAACGTACGAGTCGTGGTCGGCGCAGCTGTTCCGCGCGGAGGACGAGATGCGCAGCCCGAGCACCACAGAGTACGGCAGCAAGAAGCAAGTTCGAGGCGCCCACGCACTCGTCCGCGCCTAGCTCGCAGAATAGGCGCCCGCCCGTGGACCCACTACACTCGACGTCCGCGACGGAGGCGTCCTGCGGCGCCGTCCTCTTCCGCACTGCGAGGGCGTGTTGGGGGTTTAATAGAGAATGTATGGGACGTAGAAATATATTTTATGGGCTTCGAAACAGCACGAACAAGTCCGTTCTCGTTCATAACAAAAAGTGTGCTTT